ATCTGTAAAATGGGGATAATACTGTCCATCTCCCACTGGGATATCTGAAATGCCTTCAAAGCCATCTGGAACATAGAGATACTCAATAATTCAATTCAACAAAATACATGCCATGCTCTGGACTAGGTGCTGGGGATACAGATAAATACAGTACCAGCTGCCTTCACATTGTTCAGTATAGAAACACTGTTAACAGGCATTTATTTTCTTCCTTCCCTATATTAGCCTTCTTTTAGAATGGCAACAGGCAGTTCAGAACTTTATTCTTTGCTATTATAAACTTTCATCTCTGTGCTCCCAAGAGAGATCTCACTGATAGGGTAGCAGCTATGTTTACATCCTTGAAAGTTACTTATTTATGGGGAAATACCCCTTTTATACTTTCAAGTTATTATGAACACTGATTCTTAGCTCTTCCAGGCCTTACCTGAAGATGTTTCCACGGTGAAAGTGTGCTTATTCCGCACTTTAAAATAAGTATGGAAAACTCTCATTCTCTCTTATTTCCTGTAACCCCGCCTTTCTGGATTTACATTCCAGTTGAAAAGACTGGTCACAAAGAACCAGTTCCCAGTTTAGCTAACTTACTGATCAATTTCTGGCTCACCTCCTGGTTTAGGCTTCAGGTTCTACTCTATCAACAAAGGGCTTTCCAGAAAAACACTAGTTCAGTTTATAAACAGAGGCTATCACAAAGTAAGTAGAGGAGAAAATGTAGGAAGTCGTTTTTAAATCAAGATGTATTAGCATGAAACACATCCTCCCTTTGGTGGAGCAAGTCCACAAGTCACAGAAAAACATTTTTCATTTTAGAATAGATTGGAAAAGAGCTTTTGCCAAGAACCAGTTGTTTAAATTTTCAATTTGAATTTAAAGCAGGATTATACATGCCCAAGAACATCATGCTATTTTTAGCTAATAGGTAGGATTGCTGTGTCCACAACAGTTTAGAGCAATCAGGAGTGAAACTATTAAACAGCATCTCTCACTGTGGCACCTTTATCACTTAGTACTTCTATTTTAATATTTTCCAAAGCTCCATCATAAAAATATGTGTAAAGCGCCCATGCTAGGCACAGTACAAAGTTCAAATAGATAGCCACAGTTTCTATCTTCATTATGGGTTTACATTAAGCTAAACAAATATATGAAAAAATCTCAAAGTTAGAACATTCCCACCGAGCTGCCATCCAGCCTTTAAGTGTCCAGGGGGGATATACCTATCACTCTTCCTATAACAAAGACCCTCTCTATGTATTAAAAGGAGATGATTAATGAAAATGTTCTAAAATTGACTGACCATGGATGCACAATTCTGTGAATGCACTAAAAGCCACTGAGTTGCACACCTAAATGGGTGAATTGTATGGTGTATTAATCATATTTCAGTTAAGCCATTTAAAAAGGAACAATTGTTCTTATTCTGTTCTAATTAGTCAAAGCTATTTTTCAAAGCTCTCATACTAAAGAATATCTAGCTAAAGGCTGCACTGATTTGGCAATGCTGCTTCAGTAGCCACAATGGAGATTAATCTTTCTTTGCACATACATCTCTCTTTCCCCCATTCTCTTTCCCTAGTTTCTCTTTCCCTGGTTCTTTTCCAGATGTTCCTCTGCTCTAGCTCGGTCTTAGGTCTCACAGGTATTCCCAAGCACAATTGGTCGCAACTGGTGGACCTCAGGATTAAACCAACTGCAGAGGTGGACCTCAGCAACTTTCCTCTCAAGACCTTAGACAAGTCAAATCCCTCTGCTCCTGTCACTGTTTTGGCTTGCACAATGAGGGGTTGGACGATATAATCCCTTCCAGCTTTCATATTCCATGTAAAAAAATAAACACTTACTTGGCCAATAACATGTGGTCTCTGCCATTTTAGCCAACAGACATATGTTTGGATTATTCATTTTGTAAATGCCCATGTGATGCAATCTTTTAATGAACAGTATCTATATATATAAAAGCCTAAGCGACTGTTTGTTTGACCAGTAGCTATGATGCACACTGACCACCAGGGGGCAGATGCTCAACACACAGGCATGTAAACATGGAACAGACTGATGAATCTCAGAGTGGGGAGGGCAGGAAGAGATTAACCAAAGATCTTATATGCATACCAGAGACCCGATGCACAGATTCTTGCACCAGTGGAGTCCCTCAGCCTGGCCTGCGGGGATCAGGCCAAAACCAGCAGTCTGACATCCCCTGAAGGTGCAGGCCAGGCTGAGGTGCCTCACTGGTGCCCGTATCCGTGCACTGGGCATCTAGTTTAATATATTTATAAAATGATCAACATGTAGTCCATATTTTTAAAAACTATCACTTTATCAAAGGAAATTCAGAGCCCAACACGGAATGCTTGACAGTCCCTATAGACCTGTCTCCAAGGGTCCATTTTTTAAAAATATATTTCATTGATTTTTTTACAGAGAGGGACAGAGTTAGAAACATCGATGAGAGAGAAACATCGACCAGCTGTCTCCTGCACATCCCCCACTGGGGATGTGCCCGCAACCAACGTACATGCCCTTGACCGGAATCGAACCTGGGACCCTTCAGTCTGCAGACCAACGCTCTATCCACTGAGCCAAACCGGTCTCAGCCAAGGGTCCATTTTTGAATGAGAAAAAAAAAAGAGCTTTTGCATGTTGGGATCCTGTTGGATTTACCAAACCAAAGAAAGAAGATAGGGGTGGCAGAGCTTTAACAGCAGTGGCCCAATTGAATCATAAGAGAAGAAAGACATTGTATAGCAAGGGGTAGAGAGACCTAACAACACAGCACCTCAACATACATTATACACTCTCAGAGATAGTCTGAGAACAATGAACACTTCAGGAATCCTTTTACCCTGGACAACTTGCAGCTTTGTATGGAAACCAGTTACATTCCCCCAACAAAATTCACAAAATATGTAGTCACCAGTTTCCAACACCCTACCACCAAACAAATTCACAGTATTGTTTCCATGTGCCCAACATCAGAGAGCAAAACCGAAAGAAACACATCAATTTCTCTTTCACACACACACACACACACACACACACACACACACACACGACAGAAACCATTTTCTTCTTTGCAGAACCTACATTATCAAAGTTGTGGGCATGAAATGGATACATACCCGTTGCTAATAAAAATCAGATGGTTAGCTCTACACTAAGAAGCCAACAGCAAATGCAGAAATTATAAAAACAATAACGCTAGGTGTTTCTTATCTTTAAGCTGAACCCCAAACATGGAGAGAAATGACTGTGTCCATCTTCATCTCTCCCATGACCTCAGCCCAGCCAGCTCTCCTGTTAGCTAGTTACTTCCCTACAGTAGTGCAGAAGGTGCTGGCCCCTCTCTTCTTTCCCTTCAGGCTCTTGGCTGGAGGTACTGAACCAGAGTGGGGGAGGGCGGAAAGGACAAAGGTAGGCGCTTTAGATCCGCTTTAGATCCCTCAGGGCTTGAGGACAGGGCTCCCAGCCTCTCTCTTCCTCATTAAGGACCCAGCGCACCTGCCAGGGAGAGGTCCCTTCCTCCACCTTAGGAACTGGCTCCTGGGGCCTAGATGTCCGATGTCCGAAGAGCCTGAGAGCTGCAGCCCTCAGAGACAAAAGCTGGGCTAACAAAGAGGAGGGGGAGGCAAAAGAAGTCGGTGCAAACAAAAGCGTGGGTTTGGGGCTCTGAAAAGGCCAAGTCTATCTCTGCTGTTCCCAGAGGTAGCCGGGCTTGGTGGATTCAAGAGCATGGGGGAGGAGCGCTTTAGAAAATTCCTCTGAGGTTAGGGATTAGGGAGCTGCTAAGGGAGGGAGGGCCGAGGCCCTGGGGCACAAAGCGGGCAGAACTGGCTGCGAGAGGTGATGGCAAAGAGATGCGCCGAAGGGGCCGGAACGGGAGAGGGTCGCTCCTTGGACCCCCCCCCCCCAAGAGGGGATCTAAGCAGTGCCCGCAGGGGCTGGGGGAAGAGACAAGGGGGGGGGCGATGTTGGAAAAGAGTCTGAGAACGGAATCGTAGAGAGAGGCTCAGGCGGACAAGGAGGGGACCTGACTCCCGCCCTCGTCCGCCCCACCTCACCTGGCGCGAGTCTGAGTCCAGGTCTGGTGCTGAGAAAGCGCCAGCTCCAGCCGCCCCCACGTCCCACGCGGGAGACCACGGCCACAAAGCGGGGCGCGCTGGAGGAGGGGAGGAGGGGAGGAGGGGGAGAGGGACGGCAGGGAGGAGGAGGAGACGCCTGAGGCGCTGGAGGGGGTAGGAGGGGCGCCCGCGCCTGGGTCAGGGGGAGGGGCGTGCTGCCGGAGGCCGCGCTGGGCAGCCAATGGCCACTCTGCCGGCCGGCAGGCCCCGCGGCCGGAGGCTCACCTCCGCACCTGGGCCTCCGCGGGTCCCAGCCAATCAAAGGCCCTAATTTGCATAACCGGCCCCGCCCCCTCTCCCCAGCCCAAGGGCGCTCTCTGAGAACACAAAGAAGGCCCCTCGTAAGGGGAGAGCTCCGCTCCAGGTTCCCGACCCCGAGGATTTGGCATCATCTTTTCGGCTCCTTTATGGGTTTTTCATGGTCACCCCGATCTGGGAAGGGAAATGGGCGGGGGAGGGAGGGCGGTCATAGAGCTTTGGCCCAAGATGTCTTAAGAAGTCGGATCACTTCTCCCTGAGATCTTTCCAACCGAGCTACCCTCCTCCTGATCCAGGGTTCATAGTTCCGCGTCTCCGAGCCCTCTGAGCCCCATTCCTTCCCCTCCCCTTTTTCCAACCTCCCCAATCTCTGTGCTTCCTCCCGTAGGCTGCTGCCCACTATTGGCCTTCTGTTGTACTGCAGCCCTGATCAGCAGGTTCTGAGTATAGCCTTCGTAAATGCTCCCTGACTTGCACAAACCTACCCCAGTCCAAAGAGCAAGAGGTTACTGCACTAAAATAGAAAGGACTAGTGGCTTTGATGCCTGTGATGACAAAAAGCCAACACTTAAAAATGTAAACTCCTCAAATCATCTTGCCCCTCCTTCCTTCTCCTACCTTCGGGTCTGTACTGGGCCACAATGGTGACTGACTGGCCAGCCCGTTTCAGAGCAGCTGCAGCCTGCTCATGAGTTGCATTCCTCAGGTTGACGCCATTCACCTGTTGAAAGAGAGGAGCTATGAGCCACCCCTAAAGCAAGAAAGGGGGTCCTGTGTCATAGCAGTTAGGAGGGAGATAGGTACCCATCCCTAAGCCTTTCTCAGTATCCCACCCTTGCCCCTAAGAGGAGACATACAGGATATGGCATCACTAGTATAGTAATTATCTTTATGAGGTCAAATGCCAACCAGGGTTAAGATAAAAGAAAGATTCATTTCCTCCTCAAGGATAAGTCTCATCTCAGTCCCTGTCCCTCACTAAAGACATCCAATAGAAAATATAAGTTTTCTCCAGCTCTTAGCCCTTCATCCACCTCAAGTATTCCTTAGAGAAAGCAAGGTCTCCTCTCCTCCCCTTTTGGCTGGCATGGCTCCCATCCTCCCACCTCGCCTTTGTCTCCTCACCGATAAGATCCGGTCTCCCCTGCGCAGTTCCCCACTCAGGTCAGCTGGGCCTCCTGCCAGGATGAAGGAGACAAAAATGCCTTCTCCATCCTCTCCTCCCACGATGTTGAAGCCCAGGCCTGTGGAGCCCTTGTGCAGGATGATCTTGCGGGGCTCTCTGGTGGGAAAGCAGTGGAAGGGTCAGAACAAGGTAGCTATTAGCATCCCTATGAGGGCCTGTCTGGAGCAAGAGTCTCTATCACTGCAGAAGGATTTGGGTCCCTAACTATGATACCCTGTTTCTCCCTTTCTCTCCTAGAAACTTCTTGGCTGCTATTTTCTGCCAGGTCCAAGTTTCAGTTCCTCTTCCCTCCCTTCTTCCTGAGGGCTCAGAGTCAGCTCTCCAGTGGGCAGTCCCCTACTCTCTCAGGTCAGCAAAGCCCTCGTCTGGACTCTAAACACCGTAGTTCAGAGCCCATCCACTGGTCCTCTTCCTCCCCAGATTCTCCTATCCTACCAACTGGTGTGATGGAGCTGGGGCCACAGAAGGGGAGCCAGTTAGGAGCAGTGGAATCACTCTGGAGTTGATTACACTCTCCATCCATAGAATGTGCATACTTACTTTCCACATGCTCCTCTGCTATTTCAAAATTCCACCCCCGACTCTGACCCCTCCTACTTTCCCCAGTAACAGATGTCATCACCAATTACTATGTACCCTGGCTAGGTGATGTGAGAGACAGAGATAAAGAGTTCCCAGGTCCCCCAAGGTGGCACAGGAGCCTAACCAAAGCAAGGGAACAAATACATAGAAAACCTGGACTACAAAAAAAAAAAAAAAAAAAAAAAAAGAAAAGAAAAGAAAAAGAAAGAAAGAAAACCTGGACTACAACTAGCCATGTGTAAAAAAAAATCCCTCAGTAAATAGTCACAGTGTCATCAGCTGAGAACCACAGCCACTCAGGTATATCCATATACGGGACTCCCAGCACATTTTCAGGCCCACCACATTCACTTTTAAGCATCTTTCATCAGAGGAGCCCCAACTCCAAGATTCCTCCTTTCTTGCTCCAGGTCTAGGCCCTAGGCTTCCTCAGTCAGTCCCGGATTTTCTTGCTCAAAGCCCTCCTCTCCTCCTACCTGGCATCCCCTCCAGGTCGTAGGGAGCGGAGCGGCCAAGCCCACCTCTGCGAAGCCCTCCTCCAGGCCGAGGCTGAGGCAGAGCCCAAGCCCTGGGCCAAGCCCGAGCCTGAGAACTTGAGCGCCCTCTCCATGGCTCCTGCTGTTCTCCCCCGTCCGCCTATCCTTCCTGGCCCCACTGCAGCAAGCCTAGCAGCTCAGCAGGCCCCACCCTATGGCAAACCTGTCCCCCGGAACCCTGGCAGGCTTGACCAGTTCCACGGAGGCGACGCTAGAGTGGGGCGGGGCCGGTCCCTATGAAACCACCCAGCCCGCCAGCCTCCCCGCGTCCCACCCAACCCCACTGGCTGCACTGCTTTCTTCTGTAGTTCGGAATGATTGCAGCAGAGGGGGCGGCAACTGTCTCTGGGCAGGAACCCCCGCAGCCTACACCTCCTCAGTCCCCAAAACACTCCACCCCACCCTTTCTCTGCACTTTGGATCTGGGCCACACACTTGGCACTCCCCCTGATGGTGGAACGTATGCCTGCAGTCTCTTCCGTCCCTTCGGGCCCCCAGGGTTGAGAGAGGGCCTCAGAGGCCAAAAGTGGGAGCGACGAGGGCCTTGTCCTCTTCTTTGCCATACCACACTAGGCCTGTGGCCAGCCAGCAGCGGATTCCTCTCCTCCCCACCCCTATATAGGGGCTGGGATAGTCTCACCTGGTGAAGTCCTCCTCGGCCAGCATGTGCCTTGGAATAGGAGAGTAGCGGGCGGGTGGAACCTGAGGAGGAGCTGGGTAGCTGACCTTGCTCTCCACAGCCCCCAGATAACCCAGGCTGGAATTATGGCTTATGTGGTTGTCAGCCAAGGCAGTAAAAGCTGGAATCAAGAGAGGGCGAGACCATTTCAGAGACCATTCCACGTAGGTACCTTCCTCCCCTCCCCAAGGACCGTCCCTCACGCCCTGCCTCAGATGCACCTCAGCACCAAGGGCTGCTGATTTCTCAAGCCTCTCTGCCCCCACTCCGCCCCAAAGGCTCCTCTTCCACAGACCCTTTCTGAATCCTGGGCTCAGTCCTGTGAGTCTTAGAAAGAGCTGAAGTCAAGGCAGTCTACAAAGAACGGCATGACTGGAGGTGTAACTAATAATAATCCCTCACATCTTTGTAGCCTAACACAGTTTTCCAAGGGCTTTCTCGTTCATGATCTCATTTGAGCCTTGCAGCAGGCCTATGAAGAAGGCAGCACATATATCATTAGCTTAGCTCCTTTTCGCCAAAGAGGAAACTAAGGAGAAGTGAAAGGGACTTGTCCGAGGGGCCAGCTATACAGTGTGGACTCAGTTCTCCTGAGCACTAGTCCTCCGCTCTCTCTCTCCATCTCAACAAGGGGCATGCACTTGTTCCCTCCAGAAACCAGGGGCAGGGGCTCCAGCCCAGTGACAGGGCAGATGGGTACGTACTGCTGGCGTAGTCAGGGGGTGCGTACATGTCGTTGAGGTGAAGGCTGCCTGGCTTGGCCACCTTCAGATAGACCATGTCAGAGGTGTTCTTCAGCGAGGCCACAGCTTCCTCATGCCTCACATCCTGCAGATTGGTGTTGTTCACCTAGAGGAGGAAAGGCCTTCTGGCTAGCATTTGAGAGAAGGAAGGGCCTCTGAGGGACCCCTGAGAGGGGCCCTTTCAGTGAAGTTCAACAGTGCTCTCACAGAGGCCCAAGGGCAGTGCTGTGAAGAGCTGAGAAGCCTGAGATAGGGGTAGGGTAGCTAAGGGACTCCCAGCCTTGAAAAGAAGTAGGGCCTTGGTATCTGATACACCCAACTCCAATGACACTCTTGAAATTCCCCACAATGCCTAATACCTGAATGAGGGTCAGGTGAAATGAGAGGCTGCTAGAGCTCCACCTTCCCACCCTACCATTTGGGCATTTCCATGAAGACTGTCTCACCGCCAGCAGCCGGTCCCCGATCTGTAGGCGGCCATCCTTCTGAGCAGCGCCCCCCTCGATGATCTTGGTGATGTAGATGCTGTTGTCTCCTGGGATGTGCTGGTTTCCAATGCCCCCAGCAATGCTGAAACCCAGGCCTGCGCCAGGGAGAGGGAGGGGGCCGCAGAAGTTAGAGTGCTCAGCCAATTCTATGCAAAACCCAACACCCGCCCCTAGCCAACACACTTCCCTGGGGATCCCAAACACTAGGCTGTCATCCCGAGGTCAGTAGGGTGAAACATGAGGTCAAGAAAGAAAGGTGTGACCTGCTATGGGGAGTCAGGCAAGGAGTGACTGTTCCCTTCCATTTCCTTCATAGTCAACCAGGGACCTCTGGCCAGAGCATAGGAACCCAGAGGACCTCACCTTTGGGCCCTTTGAGCAGGTTGACCTCCATGATGGTCTCAGGTGGGGGTTGTCGCCTCCGCACCACCAACCGCACCACAGGGCCTGCCTCCTTCAGCGCCTCCACAGCTCGGCTGTGCACCACCTCTGACACGTCCACCTCATTCACCCGCAGCACACAGTCATTCACCCTGTGGGGGAAGTCCAAGAGGCACGACACTGTGACACAGCCCCTCCATCCCCTCTCTCGCCTCCTCCTGCTCCCCTCCCTCCCCTCCTCTTCCTCCCTCCATTCCCCCTCCTCCTCTCAGATTGAACTGAAGGGTCATCCTGCCAGGCAGTCCTCCTCCCCTCATCTCCATCCTCCCCTGCCTCCCCCAGCCCTGCTTCCCAGCCACCTCACCCCAGCCTCCCATCCATGGCAGCTGCTCCACCAGGAATGATCTTGGTAATAAAGATGCCAGGGTCATCAGGGATATGGGGGTTGTCAATGCCACCTGCGATGCTGAAGCCCAGGCCAGAATTGCCCTGCGGAAAGGAGTGGAGGGGCACAGTCTGCTCACTCAAAGGGCATGAGGAAGGGTTCCTGGTCCCCCAACCTCCCCTAACCGCCAGGTCAGGTGCTCCAAGCCTCAGAAGTGGCCAGGGAAGATCAGGGCATATTCGTCAGACACCTGGTGGCTTCCCAGCCTGTGCTGATCATTTTAGCATAAAAGCCTCAGCGAAGCCACCCCCTCCCCAATTCCCCAGGCTTCAGCAAGCAAGGTCAATTAATATTTGTTAGTCAGTTGACTAATTGATGCAATGACGCGGCCTCTGAGAGCTACTGTTTCCCCATCCTTTCAATGCAGGCCCCCCTCTGAGTCTTAAGACTCAGATTTAAGGTCCTCCCCTCTCTTGGCTCAGTCCCTCCCTTCCATTTTCATCCCGCCCCGCTGGCAAACTCACCCGCTCGAGTACTATCTCTTCATACTTGAACATGCCATCGCTGCCATTTACCTAGGGGAAAACACAGGCAGGTTCCCTAAATGCTTCCTGTATACCCCCCAGCCAGATGCCTCCTGGTCAACCTGCTCCTCCACACTCCCCACAGCGTAGAAGAGCCCAAATAGGTCCTAGACACCACAGAGGGGGAGGTTGACTGACCCTGAGGAGTTCACCCCCCTCCCCTTGCTTCAAGCCATATCATGCCAAACACAGCTGTTTATTTAGCTCAGATCAATGGTCTGGGACTGAGCCAGCCAGTGGTGCACTCAAGGAGAGACCGGGCTCCAGGGCTTTGCGGTTCACTAGGAGGGGTGCAGAGCTGGCCTGAGGCGGGTGGCAAAAATGGAACATGGCAGATAAACCAAGCCACACCCAGCATCCATGGCGGTAACCAGGAACTGCTTGCCTTCTGAACCACCGCACTCCGTGGTGGAGATCGTAGACTCCCACTGTGTCAGAAGTAGAAAGACAGCAGATGCCATCTTGTCCAATCTCCCTCCTGTGATAAATGGTGACACTGAGGCCCAAAGAGGACACAGGTTGTGCTAAGGGCACACTGGGAGTTAGTGGCAGAGCAGAGACTAGAATCTAGATTAAAGCAAGCTGCCAAGGCCACTGATGTGTTGGCCACTCATCCCCTCCCCCAGCAGAGCTCATGGGAAAAGGGGAAGTTGCCCCCTTCAGAGTACCTCATAAGCCCTCATTCTATGTCTCCTAATGTGTCCCCGGGAACCCAAGTCTACATGGGTAGAAGAAGTGAAAGTCCTAATCCATTTTCTACCAAGAGGTGTTTAGTACAGAACCCTTTGGGTTTCCCAGCATAAAGGGCCAGGGTAGGATCTGGCCAGGCATCAGAGGTAAGGCCAGAGATGCTACAGGAGCAGAATGGACAAGATTCCCCAGGAGGGAGAAGCTGATGACCATGGAGCAAATGGCAGCAGAGTCCATGGCCTTCAACATGCAATAGCCATGGGAGGAGACACAAGGGAAGGGGTTAGTCTGACCAGCCCAGAGAGGTGGCCTCCCAGAGAGCACATACTAATAGCCATTGTCAAGTGAAAATCTGATCTGGACAGATAAGTAGCATCTGCTTTCTGGCTCCTACTCTCATCATCCCCTCAATGGAGAAACCCTCTTGTCTCTCTCCCCAGGTAACCTGACACTCTCTCCCCATCTTTCTGTGGCTGTGTTACCTCTTGCCTTACCCCTAGTCTCCTCCCCTAAAAAGGGGACCTGGGAACCCAGGGAGGGGGCTCCTCCACATGCCCTGTTCTGCTTCTCTCTCCCACCTTCATCCCACACACCTTTGACTTTCAGAAGCTGAGAGGAGGAGATGAGGAGAGGGCTGGATAGTCATGCCTCTACCTTTTCTGGGCCTGACCCCAAGATTTTATGCCCTGCAGCTCCAGGAATTGATGGGAGGACACCAGCTGCAGCCCCACTCTGGTCCATGATCCCAGGAGGAGCTGATGGTTCTTTAGAGAACCCAAACCAACACAGCTGCTTGAAGTATCATGTGACAGAAACGCAGGGAAAAGAACACCCATGCAGTTCTTGCATGCATCTGGGGTACCATGTATGCCCACATGTGATAAGCCATGCTTCAAGCCCAGCTCCAGTGAGATCCAGAGGCTCCTGCTCCCAACTGGTCCACCCTCCCTCTGCCCCCCTCAGGGACCCTGCTCCCAGGGCCAAAAGGCATCCAGCAATCAGCCTCAGCAAAGAAACATTGCCAACTGTCAACCGTCTCCTAGTTGAGCAGGACAAGCATAAGAGTGTTTGCACGTATAGGGCCCCTGAATAGAGAGGAAAAGGAGAGAGGTGGACTCGCTGGAGAAGGCAAGGGGCCAAGGAAAGAGACACAAGAAATAGTGTAAACAGACAGAAGGCCAGAACCAAGGAAGGACTCCTCTCCCCAGGAAGTCCCCGTCTTTGCTTCTGAGTGAGAACACATCCCCAGAGAAGGACAGACGTGGCCAGAATGGTCACTACCTGCTCTCGACAGCAAAACCTCCTCCTCTCTCCCTACCCTGGGGACTGCAGAGACAAATAATCAGGCAGGCCCTCCGCCATGTGTGCCAGGGACCTGGCTCTGCCGGTCCAGCCTCCATTTTGCTGCTTCTCCCACAGATGCTCCTTCCATTTTCTAAGCTGGCAGTTTAGGCTGGGAGTGAAAACCAGAGTTGTGCCTTGCACCCAGGGGTTCCCAAGCTGTAAGTCAGACCTGGGGGGCCAAGTTCTCCCATGTCTGGGGGTATCCAATGGGGCATGCCCCACGGGGGCCAGTTCTTACATCAGAGCAGATGCCCTGTGCCCGGCTCCAGGCATCATGCCTGTTCTGGAGCGAGGAAGCTTGCTTCAGTCCCCCCTCTAGCATATACAGGCGCACGCGCGCGTGCGCGCGGGCGCGCGCGCACACACACACACACACACACACACACACACACACACACACTTCAGAGCCGCTTGGACAAAAGAGTCTGTCCTTCTCGCCATCATCTCAGCCTTGCTTGGGACATGTCTCTCTCTCTCCCCCTCCCTCCCCTTGCCTGTCAAGCACCTCTTCAAAGGGACACCACACACACACACACACACACACACACACACACACACACGTGTGCACACACTTGCAGCCATATGCTCACACACATATACATGTAGTCACACACAGGGAAACACAGCCGTCCCTGAAGCCTCATATACAGAAACACCTCCGCGGTCAGACATTCTCATACGTCCATGTGCACATTCACACACAAAGGGACTGTGACGGAGAGGGACTCATGGCATTGAGGGATGAAGCTCAGCGAGCTGGGCACATGGGCTTCACATAGATTCACAGGAGCTCCATTGCCTTTCTCCACAAACCTACACACACACACACACACACACACACACACAGCACAGCACACACACGCATCACACATGTCCCCCCTACGCAGAGCACCATGCCCCCTCCTCCCCTCCCGCAGAGACACACACCACACACAGCCCCCGCAGAACCTCCCGCCCCTGCCAGACACAGAGATACTGCTGAGCCCCCGCACTGAGTCAAACCCAATTCCCCACACAGGAAAATGTGCTCCTCCGCCATACCTTCACCCCCTGACACACACAGCTCCTCACAACCCCCCTCCAAACAGAGGCCCCCAAACAGACACACACCATGAAGCACACATTTCCCATCGCCTCTCCTGGTCCAGCTGCGATGCTAGGGCTTAGGGTCCACTGGCTTGGAGCCCCACGAACCCGTGCTGCACCCCAGGCCTCTAGGCCCTCACTCCCCAGCCGGCGCTCCCCCCCCCCCAGTTGCCCCACCACCGTCTCCCCCTCCTACCCCCCACTGGTTCATACCTGCTCATACCAGTCCCGGTTGGTACAGGTGCATTCAGGCCACCAACTGGAACCGCTGCCGTTGAGTTTGGGAGTGCTCTTGCCTGGGGCTGGCTTAGGGGGTACTGGCCCCACATCTCGGCCAGTGGGGATGAGCTTGGCCTTGGTGCGTGGAGTGGGGGTGGCCCCCGCCTGCGAAGGCAGGGTCTGCGAGCTATAGCCCCCATATGCCGTGCTGGCTCCATTCCCCCCACTTGGCCCATAGGGGTCTGGCACAGGCCAGTCCCCATAGCCCGGGGGCTCGATGCGCCGAAGGGCGGCCAGGCGGGAGACCTCGTAGCACTCGGGGCACTTACAGCAGTGCTGGTGCTTGTTCATGGCACTGCCCCCCGCGGCCCGGACCCCCCAGCCAACGCCGGTTTCCACGCTGCCGCCACCGCTGCCTCCACCGCCACCGCCGCTGCTGCCGCCGCCACTGCCGCCGCCGCCGCCACCGCTGCCAGGTTCCCGGGCACACTCACACTGCTCAGACCAGGAAGGGGGGGGCACCCGTGGGGGCGCCCGGGCGGAGCGGGGCCTGGGGCCGGGCGGGCGTCCTGGGGCCTCTGCCCCCACGCTGCCCCGCGCCCACGGCTCCCCCTCCAGCACTGGTGGCTCCGTGTCGCCCGTAGTGGCTCCTGGGCCTAGGCCCAGTGGCAAAGAAGAAGCGGGAGCCGGGGCAGAGGTTGGGTGCTGCGAGGACCGCTCCTGCACTGGTCCCCAGGATGGATCTGAGTGGAGTCAAGAGCATCTCTCCCTGGCTCCCTTCTCAGTTGATTCCAGCCAATCAGCGTGCAGAGTCAGGCAGTGGCAGCGGCAGGAATGCTAAACAGCGGCTCCTTAAAGGAACAGAAGCAGTGGCGCCCCCGGGTTCAGCCCCAGCTCCCCAGATATCTGGGGTACTGCCAACCATAGGGACGAGGCAGAGGACTTGGGCCATAGGTGAGCTCAGCCCCCAACTTGAGCCCACATGCTCCCAATCGCAGCCCATTCTTCGCCCGGTCCACCCCACCCCACTTCCAAGAGGGAGTTGCAGAAAGATGCCAAATGGGTCCCCAGGCTTGCTCAGAGCTGGGGCTACCAGGAATAAAGACTTGAGGTAGAAGAACGGACTGAAGTGATGCTGGGGAAGTGCTCTCTCCTAACAAACAGGAGATCAGGGCAGAGGGCAGCTTATGAGGCCTCTCTCCTGTGAGTGCCTCCTCTCCAGTACTATTGTTCTCTCAATCCCTAGGCCCTGAAATTCCAGTACCCTCCTGCTTGACCTGCTTCCAATACCAGGGCGGCACTTAGGCCCAGAACAGAAGGAAAATAAAGCTCTAACTTATTGTCCCTGGCCCACAGACTCCTCCTGTGTCCTCCACCCAACTTCCGCATGGTTATGATATGGGAAAGAGCTTCAGGGTGCCAGAGGAAAGAGGGCAGAAGGAAAAGCCATAAGAGATAAGAAGTAAGAGAAACCATTTCAGGGGTCTGAGGAACTTGATATCTCCTTAGCCTCTCCTGGCTCAGCCTGCTGGAGGATGGAAGTAGGATGACATGTCCAGTTCTTGTCCTGTTCTTGTTTTGTCATTAGCTTCCAAGTATTGAATCTTTACAAAATCCTAAGTGCTTTTCACATGCAGACAAAAACCCTACCAAGGTTATTATTATTTAAATTTCACCAATGAGAAATTGAGGCTCAGAGGTGATAATTCGGGTAGGTACCACAGTTGGAAGTGACAGAATCAGAATGCAAAACCTGACCATTTGCCTCAAGAACCACTCCAATTCAACAGGTTCATTCTAAGGTTCTTCTGCAGAACTTGGATCTCAGTTCAACAGATAATCATTGCACATTAACTCTGTGCAAGACATTGACCTAGGTCCTAGGGATACAGAAAGTCATTCTTAATTCAGTAAATATTCATTGAGCATCTCCCATATACTAGACACTGTTCTGGGATTTGAGGATACAGAAAAAAAGAAAAGAACAAAACACAACAAATGCCTATCCTTGGGAAGCTTACATTCTAGTGAAAGGACACAGACAAAAATTAGCAAAATAAAGAAATGAATTATATAATCTATATAATGATAAGTGCTGTGAAAAAAAGGTTGAGTAGAGAAAGTGGGATTGGGAGTGCTAGTTGTGATAATTTTTGTTCGAGATTTTTACCCTCATGTTTTTTAAAAATATGTTTTATTAATTTCAGAGAGAGAAAGGGAGAGGGAGATAGAAATATTGATGAGAGAAACATCAATCTGCTGCCTTCTACACAATCCCCACTGCAGATTGAGTCCAAAACCCCAGCATGTGATCTAACCAGTAATTGAACTGGCGCTGGTGCACGGGACAATGCTCAACCAATTGAGCAACACCAGCTGAGCTATCCCCCACATTTTTAATATGAAAAATTTTAAACATACAGAAAATGTTAAAGAATTTTACAGGGAACAAACACCAAATTGCCATCTAGATTCTTTAAAAAAAATTTAATCACCTTTATTTATTTTTTTGTTTGTTTTTGTTAATCCTCACCGGAGGACATTTTTCCATTGATATTTAGAGAGAATAGGAGAGATCGGGAAAGATAGAGAGAAACATCGATGTGAGAGAAACATATCAATTGGTTGCCTCCTGCAGGAGCCCTGACCAGGGCCACAGCCGGGAAGAAGCCTGCAACCAAGGTTGCCTTTGACCAGAATTGAACTCGGGACCCTTTGGTCCGCAGGCTGATGCTCTATCCACTGAGAAAACCAGCCAGGGCTGCCAACAGGATTCTTTTTTTGTTTTTTTTTTAATATACTTTATTGATGTTTTACAAAGAGGAAGGGAGATAGAGAGCTAGAAATGTCGATGAGAGAGAAACATCGACCAGCTGCCTCTTGCACACCCCCTACCGGGGATGTGCCGGCAACCAAGGTACATGCCCCTGACTGGAATCGAACCTGGGACCTTTCAGTCTGCAGACCGACACTCTACCACTGAGCCAAACCGGTTTCAGCAGGATTCTTATTAGCATTTTACTACACTTTGCATTTATTACATATCTATCCTCCATATAGCCTCTCCAACTTTTTTAAAAATGAAAAATTGCAAAAATACAAAAATGTTGAAAAATAAAAATATAACTCACTGAATGAGAGAATATATTTGCCAGTGATATGGGTTAATATACAAAATTTATAAAGAATTTATAAAACTCAACACTAAAATAAACAAACAAACAAACAAAAACAACCCACAAATAATCCAGTTAAAAAAGTGGGCAAAAGACCTGAATAGCTATTTCTCCAAAGAAGACATTGCAGATGGCAAACAGACATATGAAAATATGCTCAATGTCACTAATTGTCAGAGAAATACACATTAAAACCACAATGAGGCATCATCTAACACCTGTCAGAATGGCCATTCTCCTATATAATAAAGAGGTAATATGCGAATTGACCATCATTTCAACATATAAGATGGCTACCCCCATGTGGTCAAAGATGGCTGCCCCCATGTGGACACAAGATGGCCACCACAGATGGCCTGTAGGGGAGGGGAGTTGGGAGGGACCAGACTGCAAGGGAGGACAGTTGGGGCTGATTAGGCCTTCAGGGGAGGGCAGTTAGGGGTGACTGGACCTGCAGAGGAGGACAGTTGTGGGGACCATGCCTGCAGGAGAGGGCAGTTGGGGGAACCAGGCCTGCAGGGAAGGGCAGTTAGGGGCAATTGAGCAGTTAGGCTTTGATCAGTGTGGCAGGGGAGTGGTTAGGGGATAATCAGGCTGGCAGGTAGGCGAGTGGTTGGGAGCCAGCAGTCCTGGATTGTGAGAGGGATGTCCCAGATTGGAGAGGGTACAGGATGGGCTATGGGACATTCCCACCCCCCCCATGCACGAATTTTGTGCACCACGTCTTTAGCCATAAATAAATCAACAAACAAGTGTTGGTGAGGATGTGGAGAATAAGGAACCTTAATCAGTGCAATTTGTGGGAAGGCAGTGCACTGTTTGTGGGAAGGCAAAATGGTGCAGCCACTGTGGAAAACAGTACAGAGTTTCCTAAAAAAATTAAAAATGAAACTGAATTATCACCCAGCAATTCCACTTCTAGGAATATATCTGAAGAAACCAGAAACACTAATTTGACAGAATATATTTACCTCTATGTCCATTGCAGCATTATTTACAACTAGAGGCCCAGTGCATGAAATACATGGATAGGTAGGGTCCCTAGGCCTGGCCAACGATCAGAACTGATCTGTGGGGTTACTGGCAAGGTGGTGGAGGGAGAAGGGGGTTGCTGGCCCTGCCCACTGGCCAGCCCTGCCCCGGCTGCTGCTACTGGTCATCTCCCTATGTGGGGCAACCAGTGGAAACTATTGGGGGGGGGGGCTGCTGGCACCCACCTTGGGGGGCCTGAGGCCTGTGGGCTGGAGGCAGCTCCTGCATTGAGTGTCTGCCCCCTCATGATCAGTGCATGTCATAGCAACCAATTATTCCACTGGTCTTTCTGCTGTTTGGTTGATTTGCATATTAGGCTTTTATTATATAGGATAGTCAAGGTCTAGAAACAGCCCATGTGCCCATCAGAGTAGATGAGTGGTTAAAAAAAAAGCTGTGGGGCCTAAACTGGTTTGGCTTAGTGAATAGAGCATCAGCCGGTGGACTGAAGGGTCCCAGGTTCGATTCCGGTCAAGGGCATGTACCTTGGTTGCAGGCACATCCCCAGTAGAGGGTGTGCAAGAGGCAGCTGATTGAAGATTCTCTCTCATCGATGTTTTTAACTTTTTATCCTTCTCTCTTCCTCTCTGTAAAAAAATCAATAAAATATATATATTTTTAAAAAGCTGTGGGACATTTACACAATGGAATTATATGTGGCCATAAAAAATAAGGAAGCCGAGACCAGTTTGGCTCAGTGGATAGAGCGTCGGCCTGTGGACTGAAAGGTCCTGGGTTCGATTCCAGTCAAGGGCATATACCTTGGTTGCGGGCACATCTCCAATGGGGGGTACACAAGAGGCAGCTGGTCGATGATTCTCTCTCATCGATGTTTCTAACTCTCTGTCCCTCTCTCTTCCTCTCTGTAAAAAAATCAATAATATATATTTTTTTTTGAAAAGGAAATTTTACCTTTTGTGACAGCATAGATGGACCTGTAGACTATTATGCTAAGCAAAATAAGGCAGTCAGAGAAAGACAAATATCACACAATATCACTTATATGTGGAATCTAATGAACAAAATAAACTGACAAAATAGATTCAGAGACATGGAAACATGTAACAAACTGACAATTCTCAGAGGGAAGGGGGTCAAGAGGAGATTAGCCAAAGAACTTATATGCATATATGCATAACCTAAGGAACAGACAATAGTGCAGTGAAGGCCTGGGGAGGGGGCAGAAAGGGAAGGAGGGGGTCAATGGGGGATAAGGGGATAGATTAAAAGTGGCTAAGGATACAAATGCAATGTGAGAAACTGTAATACTTTCCACAATAAATACAAATTTTAAAAATAAATAAATTAATAAAGTGGAGGTAGATTCATGGATACAGAGAAAGACTGACAGCTTTCAGGGGGTAGGGGGTTGAGAGCTAGGCAAGAAGAGTGAAAGGATTAAGCAAAGAAAAAAAAATACTTGTGGATACAGACAACAATATGGTGATTGCCAGAGTCGGGGAAGAGATAGAAGGTAAAGGGGGGATAAATAGTGATGGAAGAAGACTTGAATTGGGGTGGAAAACACACAATACAATACACAGATGGTGTATTG